GCCAAGATGCATTGTGACATGGTTTCGAGGACAGTGCCATCATCGTCGAGGTTAGACTCCAAGTGGCCGGTTTTGTCCACCCTAGCCTTGCCGTGCCTAACAAGATCGAGGTACGAGTCAAACGCCTTGAAGGCCAGGTCAAACTCTGCCACTGCTAGGTGAACGGTGAAAAGACATCGGAGAATTGCGGTTGAGTGGTACGTCTTGGTCGCTGCGGCATACAGGGTGTCGAGAACACCTCTGCTGAGGCTTTCGCGACCACCCTGGCCCAGATCCTTCTCAGCCCAACCGCGGCCACAAAGAATAGACCAATTCCTTACGACAGCCTTGATAAAGGACTCGAATTCTTCTCTAGTCTCGTCGGCGCGGGGGAAGCTGGTTTCGCTGATGAGGAGCGCCTCATACGCGGCTTCGGTTTTCTTCAGCTCGACTCTCAGCTGGTTTCGCGTGGACGAAGCCTCGTTTATGACTTTACCAAGGAACCCAGTCGGGAATGGGATGTCAAGCTCGAGTATAGTCGACAAGGCCAAATAATACTCAAGCCAGACCTGTCGTCTCGGCACCGAGCCCCTATATCCATACCCCCCCGTGACCGGCCCTGTCATCGATTCCCAGTACCTAGCCCAAGATCGGAAACAGGCGACCGAGTTAGGATCTGCAAGTGACCTCTCGTTCGAACGGAGCGCATCGCTTTGAAGCACACAGTACTCGGTCAGAAACAGTTCAGACCAGACTTTGAATTGCTTGTGGGCGGTTCGGGGGCTCGAAGCCATGGATACGGATGGCAGTGCGGAATCGAAAACGGAGAGAGCCTCGTTCGTTCTTTGGGTACGAGAAAGGCAGTTCGCCTTGATGACGGCAGCCTTCAAAGCGCTGATGTTGGTCCATTCCGACTTGTCGGCGGTGCTCAACTCCTGCTCGATATTCTGAGGCAGCTTGAGGGCTGCCTCGTCGACCTCTCCAACCACCCAGTGCAGCAGTCCAGCGCAAACTTGAGCCTGGAATTTATCTTCCGGGTGGCTTGTTTCCCCATCTATCGCGGCCTGGAGCTTCGATTGAACGTTCGCGGCATCGAGATCCTTGGCAGACACAGAAGTCGAAGGCCGTCCAGCACCAGAGGGTTCGGTGGCTTTGGCAACGGCGCATTCGGTTTCGGCGGCCAATGTCAGACCTAGAGGGGACTCGGTGTCAGTAACGAGGGTACCGCGGCGTTTGCGTGTTTGTTTCGAGGCAACAGACAGGCTCGATCAGGCGCATGTTTCCTGATTTTGCGGACGAACTCGGGGACGGCGCTCCAATTGCCTTCGCAACGGGCATCGTCGAGGGCCTTGATGTAGTGGGCGGCCTTGTTCGGATCGGGCTGCAAAGAAGGAACAAGAGAAAACATTCGGTCAGCTCCAAGGTCTCGACGTCATTTGGGGTCAAAACCAGGGGATGTCTAGACAAAAACCCCTAGAGAATATGGGACAAGGAAGCACTCACAGCCATTTCGCGATACTGAAGCCTGTGCCAATGATGGAACGGAAGTGCAAACCAATCCTACTAGCAGCGCATTTGAATCCACAGCATTGTTTTGTTGAAGATATCCTAGGGGGGAAGGGGGGTTGGCGATGTTCGGTACCCAAGAATGGCTTAATTAGGAGAAGGCACGTTGCGTAAGTGATTGGAGCGACGCGATGGACACGCCCGCTTGTTTGGCAGTGCTACGGATGTTGCTGCCACCAAAGCCCCAGGAAATCAAGCTAGGTACTTCGTACGTCGACCGGCAGAAAAGTGCTGGCTACAGCATAAGCTTGTGAACAGGAGAGCAGCATAGCACCAGCGCCACTATTGAAGACCAGTGGAGAGTCCCTTAATTGACATTTGCTCTGGGAAGCACGGGCCAGTCGGCCACCGGGCGGTGACCAGTCTCCAGGTGAGGCCAGGCACCTTCGTGCCTGCCAGGATGTGGCATCTGAAGATTGGACTTGACCAAAGCAGTTCGTACCCTGCAGGGGATATGGTAGTGGATCCCTGATATCCAATCAGAATCAACATTGCTCGTCGCTGGGGAGGGTTCAATCGATACGTACCTTCACTTACAGGAAAAAGTTTCATTCAGCATCAACGGCAGGTGAATTCCTTGGCTGTGATCCGAGATATTGTCAGTTCCCTCTCACTACGGTGCCCAAATCACAAAGGAAGGTTCTCAATTGGTTTCTCATCTTGTATCTTTCCATCCGAGCTACACAGCAAAATGTCTCATTCTCTCCCCCCGGATCTGAAGGTCCTCTGCCGCAAGTTGACATCGACACCTCCGGCTCAACTTCCTCACTCAATCCCGGCCTTCATCAACCACATCCTTCGCTGCAAAGATGTCCTGTCTGCGCCACATGACCCCAAAACCTCACTTGAGGTCTCAAGTTTGGTTCATAAGCTGAGGACCATAATCACGACTCTGCTCAATGGCAAAAGTGCCATGGGCCGCTTCACCGGCGCGACTCTCGTCAAGGCTGTCGTTGATGTAGGCGGCTGGGAGTGCCTCAAGGAGTCCGGCAACTGGGTTAGAGGTCTTTTGGGGATGCTTCAGGTACGCAATCTTATGGTTCTCTGTTCAACTTGGGTACTGACACTGCATTGCAGAAGAACGACCCATTCCCGGTAAAGGAGATTGCCATTGTTACCCTTGTGCGCATCTACAGTCTCATCCAGAGCTACCAAACTCTCACAAGAGAAATCGCCACACCGACGATTCCCACTTTCTTCAACGCATGTCTGCAGATGATCAAGCTTCCAAGCGCAGGGCAGCACCTCAAGACGCCGCTCGCTGTCGTGGAGACTGTCCTGGACGCTTTCTCCGCCATGATTCCCCTTTACCCGACGACTTGCCGCCCCTTTAACGGCCAAATCAGGACTGCCATCAAGCCTTACTTGGCGCCTACCTCCTCCGATGGGTCTACGATTCCTCAGTCTCTCCGCCGGGCAAGCAGACATCTGGCCATCTCTCTGCCATTCACCACTGCAGGCAAGACGGGACCTAGTGACGACTGGGTCAAGCTGGTCGACGAGCTACGCAAGGACTTTCACTTTACCGCTGACCATGTTTTCCGTGCCGTACAGGAATCTTGGGAAGCTTCGGCGCCGTACACCCGCTCCAAGGCGGACTTTGATATCCCGCCGCAGGGTCTGAAGACGGGGGATCAGCTCCCTAGCTGGTCCGGAATCTCTGCTGGCCGCGACAGACTCGTCGGCCTGCTCCAATACATGACAGACGCCCTCCGCTACTTGACCAAGACTCCCGTAACAATCCCGGTTGCGGCTCTCATGGATGTAGTATCGCGCGTCTCGTTGATCAGCCGCCATTCCAGGTCGCAATCATGGGATCAGGCGCTCGAGACCCAGGCCGCCGTCGGTAGAGAGGAAAAGGAGGAGCTGTGGTCCGCAATGCCCGACATTCACGTCGCCGCCCTGGACTTGCTTTTGGTCCTGGTGCAGAGGTTGGAGCACAACGCTCTCTCGACAATCCCAGAGATCCACGACAGCATGCTCCTCGTCTTCCGCTCCGGCATTGACATCCCCGCCGTCCGCGCCGCAACATACAAGCTCCTCGACGAGACCCTCCCCATCGCCGGCCCCGGCCTGCAAAAGCTCACAGTCGAGACCCTCGGCATCGTCTCCCTCGCCTGCTGCAGAGACATCCAGCAAGAATCAGGCACCATTCAAAATGAAAAGCCGGCAGCCAACAAAAAGACCGCAGCCGAGAATAAGAAGAACAACATCGCCGCCAACGCAGACCTCTTCCTCCCCACGCAAACCAATACCGCAGACGCCACCACCTCGTCCTCGAGACAAACCCTCATCGCAAACGAGCACCTCGCCGCCGCTGACGCCCTCCTCGCCAGCCTGCTCTCCTACCTGCCCCAACAACACCTCAAGCCGGGCCTCCGCGGCCTCCTCGACCAGACGGCCATCCTGTCGCGCAACAAGGCCGCCATGCTCGCCAGCGTCTTGAACCCGTACACCAACCAGGGCGGTGCCATATTCCCCAGCATCCTGCCCTACCTTGCGCAGCAGTACCCCGGCGACCAGGGCGTCGAGATCCTCCGTTCCAACATCCGCACCTCCCCAACGCAACCCGCCCCGGACGCGCTCGAGGGCATCACCGCCACGCTTGAGGAGCTCGAGGCCGAAGAGGAGGCTAAGGACGCCGAGGACGAGGAGATCCTCGCCGAGATCCAGGTCGCGGGTGACGCGCAGGACGCGGAGATGAAGGATGCGGAAGCCGCCACCACCGGGGGCACCATTGTCGTCGCCGGTGACGAGGACGGTGATATCGTCACGTCCAACAAGACCGAGGTCGTCAACCCCTTTGCCGTCACCTCGGCGCAGAAGCGCAAGCTCCAGGACGAGAGCGCGGGCACGGCGAGCCCGCCTAAGAGACAGAGCGTGGAGAGGAAGGAGGTTGAAAAGACAATTGTGGCTGCTGCTGCTGCTGCGGCGGCGCCGGAACCAGTCGCCGCCAAGCCGGCCGAGGAAGCGGATGACGACAGCGACGATGAAAGCGTTCACCTCAACATGGACCTTGACGATGATGAAGAGGAAGAGGAGGAGGATGACGAGTGAGAGAAGACAAGAAGCAAGAAAAGGATTCATACTGTTGTCATTTAGGTGGACATAATACCCCCCCGCCCAACTGGAGTCGAGATTCCCCGGGCGAACGGAAAAAAAAAAAGTTTGAGTGATCTGGGTATTTGATTTATTTCGATTTGCTATAGAGCAAGTCGATGCCGTATTTGTACATGATACTGTGGTGAATAATCCAGTATCCAAGGCCGTTGCGGCCGACTTATTCTGTAAAGTCTTTGTATGAAGTGTATAGTTAACCACACCCCGTGACAGGCCGGGGATGTGATGATTTCCATCTTTCCCGCCAATGATGGATGGCCCCTTCTTTCAAAACGCCGCCGTATGAAGGATATCCATCCCTCCTCCCCTTTGCCGTCGCGAGCCGCGACGGCGACCCAATTTTGTGAACTGAAAAAAACTTCGGACCAAGAAGTCCAGAGAAGAAACGAATGCCGCATACTGTACCCCCATGGTCCATGCCTCAATCCCGCAACCAAGCCCTCCGCTTCTCCTCCTTCTTCGCCCTCCGCTTCTCCTTGAACTGCTTGAGCTCAGACTTGCTCGGCTTCTTGCCGCTGCGCTCCGCCTTGAGACTCCTTCCGTTGTGCGAGTTGGCCGCGGCGTCGACGTCGAAAAAGGCATTCATCTGTCGCCGGCTCTTGGCCTCGTCCGTGTGGCGGTCCGGGCCGTCGTCCAGCGCCTGGAACTGGCCGGTGAAGCGGTTGAACTGCGCCATGGCGCCGTACTCGCCGGCGTTGGCAGCTGCAGAGGACGCATTCTGAGTTGTGTCGTCTTCGTTGGCTGCGCTGCCCTTTGCGTACCACGCGTTTGGGTCGTAGTCGCCGTGGATGGCGGGGTTGTAGCCGCCGGCTGGGGGCGCGTCGTTCTTGGGGAGGGGAGGGGGGCCTGAGGGTATTGTGGTCGCGGAGGCGGTTGTGCCTGGTGCTGATGCTGCTGATGCTGCTGCTGGTACTGCTACGCGGGGGTTATCCCATTGCGACGCGCCGGTGAAGCGGTTGTAGAAGAAGTATGCCTGGGAAGTCGGATCCCACTGGAAATCCCATCCGTCGTCTTGTGTTGCTGGAGGAGCGCCTGCGGGCAGGGGCGGCGCTTCATTGGGGAGGGGTGGCGCATCGGTGGAAGAGGTATTATGGTTGTCGCGAGTATCGGAAGGTGCGGGAGAGCCAATCGAGCTGGCTTCGCCGGACTCTGGGGAGCTTGAGTCTCGTTTTGAGTTGTCATCGTTGTCGCCATTGGGTGACGTCGATTTCGATTCGTTCTCGGTAGGCTCTGGCTCTTGCTTGATGTCAGAAGCAGCATCGGCTGGGCTGCTTTGTCCCGGCTCAGCCTTGCATGGGGAGGCGGTTTGCGGAGAGTCTGACGCCATGGTTTCAAAGTCGGAATGCAGGGTTTAATGAAGTGGTGTGAGTTGAGTAGGTAGGTTTGTCTTGTCGCGCGTGTGTGTGCGCGTGGGTGATTTGAGAGTTGCCTTGTCACCGGGTAATGATAATGTGTCGGCCCAGCAGGAGCTTCATCTCTTGAACCGGGAAGAATGTGGAATTTTGAACCACGTTTTGGGTGGTGCTGGAGGAGCAAAGAAAGAGAAGTTAGAAAACGGACGGTTAGAGTCGCAGGTTTGACAGTGCTCAGAAGAGAACAGTGCAGTGCAGTGCAGTGTCCCCACTGAAATGTGGGTAGAGAGACAAGGAAGATGCAAAATGACGGCGATTGACAAGGCAGGTAGGTGAGTGGGTGGGAAAAGTGACCTGCGCCCGGGGTATCCGTGGTCACACTGTGATCGTCACTGGTCTAAGGCTGGCTGACCAAGTCAGAACACTGTGTGGGGGTTTGTTTGCTTCTTCAACCGGAAGCCCCCGCCCAGAATGGAAGCGTTCCTGCCATGGAAAGTCATGAAGTGTACGGAGTAGGTACCTAGGTAGTGAAAGGTACGTACTCCAATGACCACTACCTTCCGCCGCTGCACTGAAGAGGAGGAGGAGGAGTCTCTGAGCCTTTTGGTGACCCGACGGGAGAGGAGGCCCAAAAGATTGGGGACAACTACAAGTGCAGGGCAGGGCAGGGCAGGCGCAATTGGATCAAAAACGACGGGAAGTGGCTTCTGCGGTGCTGCAGCAGGCTCGCAGCACGTTGAGATATCCCCAGTTAAATAGGCCCTTCCAGACCTTCTCACTGGACGGCAGATTGAACAACGGAGGCAGATCCGGACCACGATTCGGTTTGATTACCCTAGCTTGTCGGAACGGAAGAGAAGGAGGAGGAGTACGCAGTACGCAGTACGCAGTAGAGAGCAGTTTGCAAAATACATGACTCTGCATTTCTCGTGGCCTCTTGTTTACTCTATTCTCTCTTTCTTTGCGCCGCCTTTTCTCTTCCCTCCTCTTTGGCCCTAGCCTCCCACCCTCATCGACCTATCCGAACCGTTGTTTCCTCTTCCCTTCTTCCCAAAAAGAGCGAGAGAGAGGTCTCTGCAGCTTGGCCAACCTGCCTCAGCTCCTTCGAATACCTGCATGCCATTCATCTCACCGCATTGGGAGCCAGCCTGCCTTTCGCACCCTCATCACTATTCCAGCCAACATCGACAACCCTCACTGGGCGCCGCATCGATCTGTCGTTGGAACCGAGAGCCAATGTCGACTCTCTCCGCAAGCCATCCCCTTCACGTGTTGCCTTGCTCTCCCCATTGGGACGATTATTTGCTCTCTGCTTGCCGTTCAACAGCTTCTCCATCGGTTATTATGCTGCCTCTGCCTCTCGTCTGTATGCCGAATACCCCTCACTTTTCTTTCGTCGCGAGCGGTCAGTCTCGTTATACGGCCTTGGACCATACGGCCTTCCCATGACCTCCCCGTCTCTCTACAACATACAATCTACGACAAAAGCTCTTCGCAAGGTCCCGACTTCGAGTCTAGGTAGCTTCTCATCACACCAGTCCGGCCGCACTAGCTGCGAGGCCGTTGGCGGTCATGTCTGACCAGGCCAAGCCCCAGCCGTTGCGGCCTCTGCTCCCGGCACCGAAAGCCTCACAACCGCCTCCACCACGTTTACTTCCAGCCCAGTCGTCGATCAAGAAACGTTTACCGAGTACCAAGGTTGCTTGTAACGCTTGTCGGTCCAAGAAGAAAGCAGTAAGCACATCTCTATTATCTTGGTGCCAGTGCTGGTCCTCATCACTCGTTGAACGTGCTGACATGCTTGCTCAAGTGTGACGGCAAACGCCCTTCATGTAAAGCGTGCACAGAGCTCAAGACACAATGTGTCTATATCAGCGCTAATGAGACAGAGACGGCCGCTATGGCTCTGAAAAGAGAGAACCAAATGCTTCGAGACATGTTGAGCCAACTCACGGCAATGCCGGATGATGTTGCCCATCAGACTTTGAAGAAGCTCAAGTTCGCCGTCGACCCTTACGCTGCTCTTCGCGCGATAAGGCCGTCGGGGCCAAAGGACGCCCGGGAGGTACTGCCTCATATCTCGTCCAATATCGAGTTTGAACTCACGAGACGCCATCCTATTTTGTACCCTCAGACTAGAAGATTTGGTCGTCTCGAAATGCCCGAGAGTGTCGACTCTAGGCCTTCCAAAGTAGCTCGGGTCGAGGACGCATCCGAGGAGGGCTCGATTCTCGAGGACCGCCAAGCACCAGAATACCCTACTGTCGCTGAAGTCCTGGAAGATAGTCCTTCTACAGCCTCTCCGAAGCCCTCTCGAGCATTTGACTCGGCCTTCTTTGTTCCACCAATGGGACCTATTCCTCCACCGACGCCGCGCATTCGTAACGAGCCTCGCTTGAGAGATCTGAACATTGCCTTTTGGACCGTAGTGCCCATCAGTAATCAGGATGCAGCAGAAGTCATCTCCCTGTATCTGGAAACAGACCATCCGATATTAGGCTTGTTCGATGTAGATTTATTCCTCAACGACTTGGTCTACGGGGAAGTTCGATACTGTTCCTCACTGCTCGTCAATGCTCTGCTTGCTTTCGCTTGTGTTAGTCCTTCCCGACCCCCCGACCCTTTTCAAGAATCATGTTATTGATTGTTTCGACTAGCAAGCGTATGCGGCAAAGCAACCTGAAGCGTCTCGATGGAGCCAGGAGCTGGAAGACGAGTCGAACAAGCTCTGGCATGCGCATAACGATGATACCCTACCTACCATTGCAGCTTTGGCTTTCTTGATTCAGTCTAGCGGCTGTAATGGTAATGGTGAACTCAATGTGAAGTTTATCAAAGATACAGCAGCTATGGCGAAGCGTCTCAAGCTCTTTGGCTGCCCCGACGCATATACCTTTGTAGACCTAAATCGCCTGTCAGAACCACAGGCTAGGGCAACTGCTCAAGTAGCATGGGGGGTATTCAATACTCTGAGGCAAGGCCATACCATGAGGTCATTCTTCTTTCAAGAAACACATCTGACGAGTAGTGTAGTATGACAGCTCAGTTTTGTCTACCAGCGACTACCGAGTATCCTCCAACTCTTCCCATGCCAGGTAAAGCCAGACTAGGGAACCCAGCACTCGGGTCCGAGCACAAGCGTAGCAGCAGCGCGAATAGCACAGCGCCCTCGTCTGACTCGGATGCTCGATCCCAGTCTCGAAATCGCACCAAGAGAGGGCGATCTCCTGCAACATCAGACACTTTCGCTGCCTTTTGCGAGTTATGGGTCATTTCCTCTCAAATCACTTGGGTTTATCAGCACGAGACCAGCCCGGGTCATTCATCCCAAGCCTTTGCGCTGGAGAAGTACAGCAAACTGCTGTCTTGGGCAGACAACTTGGCTGAGAGTATGGAACGAGACGAGCACAGCCCATCTCATGTGCTTGCCTGCCAGTAAGTTTACCTTGTTTGTTTTGTTAGTGTACGGTGTGCGAACTAATAACCCTCACAGCATGTGGTTCCACGGGACTGTGCTCTACCTCCTCAGGCCGTTCATCCCAAGCGACAAACAGCATGGCTTCAAGTTCTGGTCACCGTCAGCCGACCAGATACCCGCCTTTTTCGCGGCATCCGTCGAGCAGCTCAAAGACCTCGTCGAGGTGTACGCGCTGTACCCAGAATCGACGTACAGCATCTTCGGGCACACTGCCCTCATCCATGTAGCCAACGCCGTAGCTAGCGACATAACGAATCCAGAGTGGCGACCCTACTTTCTCAGCTGCATCCGCGCCTACCAGGCCCTGTACAGCTCCTTTACCGTTGCCGAAGTGATCGCCGGGGGCCTTCTTTCTATGGTTGTCAGGAAAGGGGGCATGGACATGACGGAAGCCCTGGGGCTGCTGCAAGACCTCAGAGCACGCAAGGGGCCCAAGGCAGGCGGCCGGGCGACTGGGATGTTTGTGACTGATCTTGATCTTGCCGTGACGGACCGCGAGGCGGCAAGGGTTGACCGCTTGATTGAGAACTTTGAAGAGATGACTATCTTGGATGAGTTTACTCAAGGTGTCATTTGAGGTGTAGGATGAGGGGTTTCCTTGCTACCATTTCTATCGCCAGGTGATGCGTATTCGGTGCAAAGTCCTAGGGAAAGGACCGGCTCCGTTTGATGATTTGTATTTCCACGACGCACATGCTACAATGAGCAGCCATCAAGATTCTATATTTCTTCCACGATTTAGGTGTAATATGCAATACACGGCGGCCATAACCCGCAGAAGCTCGTTCATCATCCAAGTCATTTTTGCTTGACATCGTCGCTCCTCATAAATACCCTGACGCATTTGGATCTTATTGGCGTAGGGAAGTCGAATGGACTAGGTACCTTGGTCTTATGATGAGCAACTAGATCTGAGAGGATTTAGAGTCACCGAATCTAGTTCTTAGCGTCCACATGCCTCAGATCGAGGGTGTAAGGAATAATTCAGCCCTGTACTCTGCAGAAGTCCATGGGTCATGTTGGTGTGACCGGGGTAACCAGAAACAAACACCTGATAGGACAATGTTGTGGGGGACGTCTTCACATGTTCCCGGTCATGTAATGCAAGTCTGCCTTACAGGATACAGATCCATACTCGAAGAAGTTGAGGCACTTTTTTTCTCTTTTCGCACTGACCTCACGGGGTAAAAGCAGAGCGCTAGTTCCTTTCATTTCATGTTTCCATCCTCCCCCGATACAACATCGGCCCTACGTTAGCTGCGAAGAAACATCGTATTCCACGAACCATCCGACCACCACTCGGCCCGCCAACGCAACGTCCCAATAGATCCAGGACAACCAGCAGGCCTCCTTGAGGTTTCTTTATGGCCACAAATAGCACACACAAGCTTGAAGCATGGCCACGGCCGCCGCCACGGTGCCATCGTTCGTCTTCCCGCTTGCCTAGAAGTCTAGAGCGGTCACGGCCATCTCCTCCAACCAACAACGCTAACGACACAGAAACCAAAGGCGACGGCCGCCGCATCCGGACAGGTTAAGGGTGTCATTACCCAACCCAAGACCCCGTTTTGGGTCAAGTCTCTCTTTTCAGATCATCACCGTCGCCTAGCCTTCCCGCTCAGTCCCTGACGAGGGATCGCTCTCTCCAGCTTTCCTGTCGTGGTCCACCGGGGGAGGCCGCCCCCGATCATACCTATGTTGCCTACGGATACTCTGTGCTACCCCAAACCTGCGCCGCCGTCGCAGTCCCTGCAGATGATGGACTGGAACTTTCCCAGGACGTTTTTTATCAAATCTTTGGCGGTCTTACCTTTCGGTGCCCAGTGGCGCCACTAGCATCGTCAGGAGAACCCGTCGCCGTTTCCGTGAAGGATCGGTCGCTTTGCTCTTGAACAATTTGAATTAGGTTCTGATCCACGTTCTCAGTCTCTCTCTCTCTCCACCTTCTGGAAACCTCGATCCGGGGGCTGCCATCCCTCGGGTGAGGCGAGGGTTTGGCCATCTAGTGGCTGGACTGGGCATCCGGAAGGGAAAGAAACACTCGCGCACGCACGATCCCGTCTCACATTCCGGTGCACCGTGGCAGGGGACAACCTCCAAAGCGACGTCGCCTTTGACTACGAGGTGTGGAAGACAAGCACTCGGACAATTTGTCGATCACTCTTTCGATAAAATCGTCCCATATCCCGCCCTCCCTGCGTTCTGCCTCCCCCAGATTATCGATTGCATTCCTTGACAGAGCCGCATCCACAACGCCAAGCCACACACGGACAAGCAGCAGTGGAATCATGTCTTTCAGACGGGCACCTCTCGTGAGCCTCGCTCTCACGCTGTTGCCGTTGGTAGTGGCTGACGACCACCCCTACGTCGCCGATTCAGTGTGCGACTGCTACTTGACCAACTCATCAGAGAGCTATTTCAGCAACCATTTGTTCTTTGACTTCCGCAACCTCGGCCAATACGCCGGGGTCCCAGATGCCCTCACCGACTGGGATGCGAGTGCCAACGCAAACACAACGTCCGACTATTTCAACTCGGACGCATGGGGCGCGATATGGGGTATCCAGAACTGGAACAACACGGACCGCAAGGGGAAAGACGGCAACGATGCCACAGTCAACATGGTCAACTCGCCCAACAACATTTACATTGAAAAGAACAACGACAAGGACGCGACCTCGGACACCTTTATGAGCATGCGTACCGTCCGCTTCGAAGACTTCCAGTCCTCGGCCGAGATGGAGTCCGTCTCCATGGGCTACCACTTCGTCTCGGTCCGCATGCTCGCCCGCACCCTCGGCGACCCGGGCGCCTGCACGGCGCTCTTCACCTACCGCGAGGCCGACAAGTACGCCGACGTGCAGGAGGCCGACATTGAGGTGCTGACCAAGGACCCGGACGACCGCATCCAGTACACCAACCAGCCGTCATTCGACTCGAGCGGCAACACGATTGACAAGTCGACGCAGAACGGCACAATGCCCCGGGGCACCTCGTGGCGCGACTGGGCCGTCCACCGCCTCGACTGGGACGCAAAGGACAGCACCTGGCTCGTCGACGGGTCCGAGACGTCGAGCATCGCCTTCCAGGTGCCTCGCGACCCCAGCCGTGTCATGCTCAACTCGTGGAGCGACGGCGGGTCGTGGTCTGGCGTCATGGAGGTCGGGCACTCGGCCGTCATGCAGATTCAGTGGATCGAAATGGTATTTAATTCCACGGAATCGTCTTCGAAGCGCGATGTTCTCGATAAGAGCTACCACCAGGCTGCTGGGCTCGGTCCCAGGGGTCACCTGGACCGCCGCCGCGGCGAGGGCAAGTGCCAGATTGTGTGCAGTATCGATTCGTCCGCCACCGTTGGCGAAGCTGTGATGCTGCACAATGGTACGGCGCCGGGCCAGCTTTTGGGACAGTCGAGCGCCATGGCTTTCTGGGTGCCTGTGGCGTTGATGTCGGCCATGTTTTACCAGTTGTGGGCGTGATGTTGATTCACAGACATGGGGCGTTTACATCTGATTTATGCCAGCATAGCAGCGGGGTTTAAACATGGGATTTATTACATAGTATACAATGATATACATTTTGAAGCTTATTCGGGTCAGCATATGCTCATCGCGAATCCCTTGACGTAGGTGCCATGTGTTTGGGAAAGTCAGTCGGGAGCTTTGGGGTGGTCGGATCAAGCAATCCAGAGCTTGACCCCTGTAAACCAGCACCAACGCGCGCCGCGACGTGCCTTGTACAGTGGGACGACCCCAGTACACCCATGCCACCCACCAGGGCAGGCAGGTGCAGGATGTGCCTCGGTCCCAATTGGATGTGGGATAATTCGATGGAACCCTTGGCTGCAGCTCAACCTCCCTCTCAACAATCTTTCCCAAAAGGCATCCATCTGCAAAATACCCTCTCGCCATCATCACCGGCACAAACGATTAAACCTCCCACAGCATCGCACACACACCCGAAAGCTCAAACAGCCAGTTCCAAATCGCACGCACACAAGCAACAATGGCCGACAGCGCAGGAGTCCCGAAGCCGCAACGGCGACCGTCCTCCCCGCTCAAGAACGGCTACCTCATCGCCTACAACTTCGTCTCCGCCGTCGCCTGGGCCACCGTCCTCGGCCGCACCGTCGCGCTCTTTGCCCTCCGCGGTCCGCATTTCGTTCATCTCGGCGTTGGCGACTGGACGCGGTGGACGCAGAGTATGGCTGCCATGGAGGTTCTGCACGCTTTGCTCGGTTCGTTTGGACTCCCTCCCTACACTCTTGACTTCTACTTTTGTCTTCTCCCCGTTCTACCTGAACCGGAGGGGACAGCAGAGGAGAGGAATCAACCCATGGAATACAAGGCTAACATATCATGTCTCTCACAGGCGTCGTCCGCGCCCCCGTCTTCACAACCGTAATGCAAGTCCTCTCCCGCTTCGTCCTCGTCTGGGGCGTCGTCTACCCGTTCCCCTACCTCGCCCGCAGCCCGTGGTACTCGTCCATGCTCCTCGCCTGGAGCGTCACCGAGGTGATTCGCTATTCGTACTTCGCCCTCACACTCAGCGGGTTCCAGCCCAAGTTCTTGACGTGGCTGCGGTATAACACGTTCTTCGTGCTGTACCCCATCGGCATCACGAGCGAGTGCGTCTTGATTTACTACGCTGCTGCGCCGGCTAGGCAGTTTGGGGAGTTGGCGCCGTGGGTTTCGTATGCTATTCTTGCTGTTTATGTTCCTGGTATGTTGCCTTTTCTGTTTCCATTTGCGCACGCCCTTGTTTTATGGGTGTGAACTTGAGGAGGGAGTGCTGACGATGGAATAGGATCGTATATTCTTTACACGTACATGATGAAGCAGAGAAGCAAAGTCATGCGCAACTTGAAGGCCGAGGAGGCGGGCCGCTCCAAGACGCAGTAATTCTTTCAACTCTAGAAATGAAGGGCGTGAAATCCAAAATTTAGGTGGGGTATAAGGACTATATAATGGTCGGGGGTATGGTATGGTTATAGACAAAAACAGAAGAGGACGGGCGTATACAAAAATTCGTCCACACTCTAGCAGCCGTAATAATAGAGAAAAAAGGGAAAGATCACGGTCTAAGGTCTTAAGCGGTAGCACTCTCGCCCGCCTCCTTGATGGCGAGCTTGTCTTCCTCGCTGGACTCGTACCACTCGTTTCGCGTCCACTGGGCGATGAGATTTGCCGCGTCCTCCTTGAGTTTATCGTACCCCGGGTTCATCTTGGGCTCGAACATGTCTAGACAAGTTCAGTCAGCAAACCCTGAACAGCTTCCAGCCAATTGCCCTAGAAACAGTGGATTCGTCAGTAAAAAAAGGGGTATTAACTCACTCATATGCGCCTGCGTCTCCTCCGTAGCTACATCATTCACAGCCTGCCTCCACATGCCCCCATTATCCCGCTTCGGCAGGTTACAAAACGTCCGGTCCCGACCCAACACCGTGCCGACGACGCTGACCTCCTTCGAGCCGGCCGCTTTCCCGAGGCGGGTGTACAAATTCGCGAAGCCGACATCGAGCTCCTTGTTGAGCTTGACCATGTACTGCACCCTCTTCTGCAGCTCCGCGCCCTTTGCGAGACACCCGACAAACTCGAGGTGCGACGTCGCCCAGCTCAAGCCCTGGGTGATGTGTTCGCGGTTGTAGTAGGCCGCGCCGGCGCTCGCTGCTACTGCGGCGGCGGAGCCTGCCACCATTGCAATTTTGCCCCATCCCCATCCTCCTTGCTGTGAGGAATTTGCTGCTGGCGGGGCGGGAAGAGCGGCGACGGGGGCCTTATTTCTAGATGGCGAGGTAGCTTGTTTCGCGCCCCAGAGCGCGGTGCCGAGCCCGCTGAGCTGCGTCATGGCAGCGTTGGCGGTGTTGTAGTGGCCCTCTGCGCCGTGGGCGACGACGCCGGGGGAGATGCCTAGGTATGGCGTGTCGAAGGCGATGACACCCTGGATGTAGGGGAACATGAGGCTGTTGAAGGTGGCGGAGGAGGAGTCGAGCTCGGGCTTCTCGACGCCGTCTTCTGAGTAGATTGGCTTTTCCGAGGTGAGGCCTATTACGGTCTCGGCGGCGACGATGCCGCCCATGGAGTGGCCTGCTAGGACGACGCGGACGGAGGGGTCTACCGTTGGTGAGGGGGTGTTGTTTGCGACTTCTAGATCGATGACTTTTTCCAGGAGCCTAGGTGGGGTGTGTCAGCTGGCTTGTCTGATGGCCGGCTGGGATGGCGATGGGAACTTACCAGTCTCGGAAGCGGCTCACGCATTCGCCTAGGTCGCCGCGCGTCTCATATTTGGGATATACGAGGACGTTTACGTTGATCTTTGGGAGGAGGGCGGCGAGGTCTGCTCGGAGTTGTGCTGTGAAGCCCTCTTTGTCGCCAAAGGTGTCGTCACCTCCCTGCGGATATGTTAGAAATCGGAAATCATTAAGAAGGGCATGGAGCTACGTACTTTGAAACCGTGGATGAACACTATGAGTAATGTCTTCTTCATATTGTGGTTTTGTTACTAAGTTAGATGAATGAGAAAGACGATTGTGAGCAGCTTTGCGATGTCGTTGATGAGCTGGAGCTTGGAGCTTGACGTTTGTGCACAGTGTTGAGACAGTGCGCGTGCTCATCATAGGTACCTTTAGTGCCCCGCCTCGCCACCCCACCACATGTGACAACATCCCTTGGGAGAAGCAACATCGACTGGTACACGGAACAACTGAACTTTCCATATGACCTCCGCAGTGCCACGGGGCGATTTCTCATTAGAACCTCTATCAAAGAACCTCTATCAAGTGATTTTTTGCCAAAAACTCAGCACGGCCAGCCTTTTTGTCTTCAATCTCCTAGCTTTAATTCGAAGCCTGTCGCGTTGGAAGTGCTCATTGGTTCGCAGATATGCAGGCAACCATGCTTGCGAGCTGCGAGCTGCGAGCTGCATGCTATCGCGCGGGGGTTTGGTCCAACACAGGATCATCGGCGGCTACGGAGTAGATGGATAGGCTCATGTTGTTATCAGTCTCTTTCGATGCATAGCACCCTATTGATATACTCTCTGCCTACTCGCAACTCTCTGTCAACACACAAATCTCTGCCGACGCGCAGTCTTCTGTCGACTCGTGAACTACCATCAATACGCTCATCTGTGAAAATATGCGACTTCTGAACGTCGAAACGAGAAAGCTACGAGAATTCGTTATTAGTGTACCGGAATATGCAATATTGTCCCATACCTGGGGCGACGACGAGGTCACCTTTCAAGACCTCGACTGTCCTGACCACACCAAGAAGCGAGGCTACACCAAGATCGACGGTTTCTGCTGCCTAGCAGCCAAAAACGGCTTCGAATGGGTCTGGGTTGACACCTGCTGCATCGACAAGACGAGCAGCGCTGAGCTCTCCGAGGCTATCAACTCCATGTATCGGTGGTACAAAGACTCTCAGATTTGCTATGCCTACCTCGAAGACATCCAGCCAGACGACGATCTGAACGGTTTCGACAGGCAATTTGGCAACAGTCGGTGGTTCACGAGAGGATGGACTCTGCAGGAGCTGCTTGCCCCCCCGGCTGTCTCTTTCTTCAATGCTGCCTGGAAGGAACTTGGTACACGTTCTTCATTGGCGCGCGAGATCGGATCCATCACCAGTATACCGACCGACTTTCTGAGAGACCGTCACGTTCACAGAGCCAAGGTCGCTGAGCGGATGTCGTGGGCCGCTCGGCGGCAAACTACGAGGGTGGAGGACAGAGCATACTCTCTCCTAGGTATATTCGATGTGAACATGCCACTGCTCTATGGCGAGGCGGAGAAGGCATTTGAGAGACTGCAGATCGAGGTTATGAGACAGTCATCTGACGATTCGATACTCGCGTGGTCATTGACGCACGAGCTTCAGTCGCTCAAGTCCCTTGATGATCCAAACATCTCTAACGCATCAACGATACCTGCGTTGGCCTCGAGCCCTGGAGACTTTGTTGGGTGGGTTGATACTCAGACCGAGGGTTTCTACGAACGAACAAGCTCAATCATGGAGATGACAAACCGCGGTCTGCGTGTCGCGCTTCCTGTCGTCACAGACGGGTTTTATTCATATGGTGTGCTCAACTGTATGATGGACAGTACATTCGACAGGATTCTTGCCGTGAGACTGGTTCATACCGGCGTTGCTGGTGAATATGCCAGTAAGGGTCTAGTCTCTTTGTCCTGGCAAATTGTAGAGAAATGTCGGAAATTGACTACCGTTCACATTGACAGGCGATGCCGTTCGCAGCTTCAGCAGCGTCGAATACTTTGGCACAAACAATTTGCAGGTGGAATGTTCCGTTTTGGAATGGTCCGTATTCAACACCCGGAAAGCTGCCCCGAACACTTGGTGGGCGTTTTCCCAAAGCGTGCCTACCAGAAGGAATGGAACTCCCTCATTTCATGGCAACCTGGTGGTAATTTTAGCAGCTGGGAACGCACTCTCCTTCATTTCAAGCAAGATCCGACGGATGAAAAGCCTGATGGTGGCAGTCATAAGGATGGCTTCGTCGTTGTCCTAGACCCAAGAAGTCCGCTCAGTACCTTCTTCTCTCTCGAGATGGAACCTCCTCCATTGGTCTGCTACACCCTACCAATGCCAGAAGGAGAGACACTGGAACGTCTCATGTCAGTCGAGAAATATACATCTTCTGAGCCTCTACTTCCCGACAAGCATCGAGACTTATCAAAGTTCCGAAATAGGTTCTCACTCAAAGCTGGCGTTCCCCGGGCCAAGATTGAACGAGTAAACTTTCTCGGTCAGGAACAGTTCCTCGTCAAAATTTTCTACACCAAGCCGTTGGCCGAATACGTCAGGTCCATCACGAATCTGCGCTCGCTCTTAGGATCACGATGGCGTGGTAGCTTCCGCCGCCGTCCCTTATTCTTCGGGATCGATCTCCTTCTCGGTCTGATCCCCATCGTCGCCTGGTGGCTAAACAGAAAGAGACGTCCCATCAGAAGTAGCTGGAATGAAACAGCCACGTGTGGTGGTCTAGCGTTTTCCCTTTGCCTTCTTCGCCACAAAGCCGAAGTTGCTCTTAGGACCTTGGGGACAGGTCATGCCTATCCCGCGGCGGTGCGAAAGAAGATGAGACAAGAAGACGCTGGCTTTTATTATATGGTGGTGTACTTGCCCTTTGCCATTTGGTTCCCCGTTTCAATGTACACCTTGTTCCCTCACTCTCGCAAGGAGGTCAAAGTCAACCCGCTGGTTTCGGTGTTTTGCTCGGTGGCGATTATTGCAACTGCGATGCGTGGACAAAAGTTTTTGTAGGATTAGACTCAGCAAGAGGCGACATAAGTATCTGAGCATTATAGGTGCAGTCATGCTGAGTTTGGACCACATCACTTGGTACACCATGTGGTGTCGTTTGGGGCGAGGTGAAGTAGTTTTGTTGCGGTATGCATGCAACTCAACAGCGCTGTAGCCACAATCATCTTCTACTTTTCTCAGTCTTGTCACAATGTTCCCGTTCACATTCGGCTAGAAAGGTGCGGTCTCTCTGCCAAACTTCAAGAGAATCACTCCATCAATTAGCCAGGACGGTTGAAAGCAGCCTATCCAGCTACTTCGAAGATGACTTTGGACATCTAGGTAAACGGCAGATCAAACTGGTCACCTATGGAGAGTGCGAGACTCCCTTGTCCTGATAGAAGATTAGTCGGAAGTTGTCGAGATCGAGACTGCGGGAAGCTCATGAAGGAACGTGATGCTAGAAATGTTGAGTAATTTAGTTCAGCTCGCTTCTAAATATTGACCACAGTTTAGGTATGCTGTCCTCTACCATACTAATACGTAGCCGTCAGCCTCTGCACGAGATACTGCCCGCTGTTGATACCATCGTATTTCTTCTCCGCCTCCGTTGCGTACGTCCCCGGGATAGCCTCGATATGACTCTTAAAGTTGGGGTTGCAAAAGTACCTATTCAGCATTGTCAGCACGTCAAAAGCCTCAAAAAATAGACAACACGGCCACTCACGCAATGCTGTACCGAGGAGGATATTCCGTCCCGTCCTCCGGCTTCCGCGGCGGCTCCACGACGCGGTGAATCGTGCTCTTGATAGTATCATTACTCCACCGCGCAAGTAAATCTCCAGCATTCACGACAACCGTCCCAGGAATCGGCGTGGCGTCCACGAACCGACCATTAGGGCTCCTCACCTGCAGGCCACCGCGATCGTCCTGGAACAACAGCGTAATAGACCCGTAATCACTGTGCTCTCCAGCACGCACCTGACCTGGGTTCACCTTGAAGACGTTGGGGTCGACGGAAGGGTAATGCAGTAGACGCAGCGTATTATCCCCAACGTCGGTATACCCATCAAAGAACCGCTCATCCTCCAACCCCATACCCACCGCAATGGCGCGCATCACCTCGACGTGCAGCGCCTTACACTGCCCAAAGAACTCGAGCATCTGCGTCTTGAACCCCGCAACGCGCTCGCCATCCCGCTCGACGGGCCACTGGTTCGGGTGGTCCGGCTCGCCGTCGCGGCCAATCTCAAAGCTCTCCTTGAGGTCCGGGTTCCCCGCGCGCACCTTTTCGATTTCCTCGTTGGTGGTGAGGTTGCTGACCTTTTCGCGGCCGGGGGCCGAGTAGCCGCGGTTGGCCTGCGGGGTTGTCCAGCCGAGGCCTTGCTTGACGGCTTCGTCCTGGGCGAAGAAGTCTGCTGATTTGGCAAAGGTGGCGGCGCGGAGGTCTTGGCTGATGGGGACGTTTTGGAGGTAGATGAAGCCTGCGTTTTGGAAGCCGTCGAGGACTTGTTTTGCTGTTTCCTTGCGCTTGGCGGCGTCGCCGTTGAGGAAGGCTGAGAAGTCGATGAGCTTGATCTTTGGTGTCAGTTGGTGATGCTTGAGGCGATTGGGATGTTGTGTCACTGATGTCACTCACGGGGATGAAGAGACCCTCCTTGTCTACTGCTGTAGCTGCCATGATGAGGTGCGGTTGCCTTTCACTAAGTTGAGAGATGATGGATGAGAGATTCAGAGGTGGACGTGTCAGTTGAAGCTTGGGAGCATCACATGTATCAGCGTGAGGTGTAATCTCGAGTAAGAAGTCACGATAAGGTTCGTTACTAAAATCCGTGCGGTACAGGTTCCGAGCGACTTATATCTATCCGTCGATTACGGTAGGTTGTCTAGGTACCTTGGCGGCGGCTCAGCCAACCAGAGGCCAAGCATTAACATCGTAAGTTAACAGCCAACCACCGGCGCCGTCTAATCAGTTCCGGACGGGGCCAGGCGTTCCCCCTTGTTGATCCCCGGCCAGAACGGGGCGTTACGGGAAGAAACATCAGAAGAAACCCTTTAACAAGACCGGCTGGGTCCGCGGGTGCACGAGTGGGAAGTTCATCGGAGAGCTCCTACACGTTATACTTATGTGTAAGCAGTACCTCATCATTGTCTCAGAGGGGGGGGGGGGGGGGAAAGTCTGACGATAAGAAGCCGGTGGTGCGTTACAGGCCGGCGCGCGGAAAGACGATTGGAGATAACGGCGGGGTAAAGTAGAAAGATAATCGACAAGGTCCTTGGAGACGCCCGCGTGTGGGGTTTTGTGAGGTATGCGGTGCATTGAGGCGCTTGCATATGAGGGGAACATGGATTGGAGGGGGAGCCAGGCGCTGCGGGTCGTGGCGACCTCATCACCTTCCTGGAAAGACGTAGTTTGTCGGGTAACTGGTACTTACTTTTTTAAAAGGAAGACGAGGGGCAACACCAGCTTTGCTTGCTCCTGGGAAAGTTTCCAACTTAGGGACTGACCACAACAACAAGATCATTTCCTTTTCCTGTTCCTGGCTTGCAGAAGACCTGAGCTGGAACCTCTCTCTATCTGAGCTGTTAGTGAGCCTCTTCATCTTGTAAGTCAACCTACCATCTTGAGTCTGGATCTCCAAAGCCGGACCACTGGCTAACATCAGGAAGACCAATCACCAAGATTGTACCTTGGGTCACCTCACCGCCAACTCCAAGTGAAGACGAAGGTAGTAAAGGGACACCATCTGCTCAGCCGATTTCACAATGGCCTCATCAACACCTATGACGGTGGTGGACATCCACACCCACATGTACCCCCCGTCCTACGTCAAGATCCTCGAATCTAGAACCACCATTCCCGTCGTGCGCAGCTTCCCGCAAACACCAGACCCGCGTCTCATCCTCCTGGCCTCGGAGGAACAAGCCCTGGATGAGGCCACCAAGGATCCTTCGGCGAAGCCTCCCGGCCGGCCGCTGACCTCCCACTACGCCTCGCTCGACCAAAAGGTCCATTTCATGGACACGCACAAGATCAACATCTCCGTCATCTCCTTGGCAAACCCGTGGCTCGACTTCATCGATGCCTCCGAATCCGGCGCCATGGCCAAGGGCGTCAACGAGGAATTCGACGGCATGTGCGCCGCGCACCCGGGCCGACTCTTCTTCTTCGCCGCTCTGCCCCTGACGGCACCCCTCGAGACCATCTTGGAGGCCATCAACCACGTCAAGTCCCTCAAGTACTGCCGCGGCATCATCCTCGGGACCTCGGGACTGGGCAAGGGCCTCGACGACCCGGAACTGCTGCCCATCTTCAAGGCTATCGCTGCTGCCCGCCTGACCATCTTCCTGCACCCGCACTACGGGCTGCCCAATGATGTCTGGGGCCCCAGGGCAAGCAACGAGTACGGCCACGTGCTGCCCCTGGCCCTGGGTTTCCCGATGGAGACCACCATCGCCGTGGCGCGCATGTACCTGGCCGGCGTGTTCGACGACGTGCGCGAGCTGCGTATGCTCTTGGCGCACAGCGGCGGCACGCTGCCCTTCTTGGCGGGACGAATTGAAAGCTGCATCATGCACGACGGGCAGCTGGTGCGCGAGGGCAAGGTCGGTAAGGGCCGGCGGACGATTTGGACTGTGCTCAAGGAACAGATCTACCTCGACGCCGTCATCTACTCAGAGGTTGGGTTGAAGGCGGCCATTGATGCCAGTGGGGCGGATAGGCTCATGTTCGGTACCGATCACCCCTTCTTCCCGCCGTTGACCTCTGATGAGCAGGGCGAGTGGGAGAGTGTGAGCATGAACGCTGATGCCGTTGCTGTGGCGGTGGGTGAGGGTAGTGACCAGGCCAAGGCCATTATGGGTGGCAATGCAATTGAGATTTTGAGACTGAAGGTGGATTGAGCAAGTAACTTTGGAATAAAAAGAAAAGAAACTTGAAAGTCATGAAAGCTGGTGACACATGGGAAAGCATTGAAAGTGAGCGAATCTCATATGAGAATTGGCCGAAGTGTATGAGTGAGGCTGACCGCCTTCCTGAAATGGCCATACATGGTGGGAGTTACGTACACCGCCTTCTATATTCTATCTCAACAACCACTTTCTGCCGGCGTTTACTGAAAATATGGCAATTGGCCCCGCGATGTAGCTTCATCCCGCATCTCATCCTTACATACGCAGGCTCATCAATTCATCCGAGTTTTGCCTCTCTTCCCTCGAGAATACAATCCAATATCAATTAGCTACCAATAAGGACCATAATGGTGGTTGAAGTCCGCCGCTCCAACGGCACGCGCCTCGATGCGTCCCTCGGCATCACTGAGCGCATCGCCCCGAGCATGGTCGCTTGGACTGGAGATATGCGCAAGAGGTAAGTTTTCTGGCCGCCTCATAATATTTCTTTATTAACACAACTTCTCAGATACACCGACTTCCAAGTCTACGAAATCAACAAAGATGGATCCGTCCTCCACCTCACAGAAACCCGCCTTCCCGCGCCGCCAAAGGAGAACACGCCGCCTCCACCAGCACCTACTCCTCCTGCTGCTCCCGTAGTGGAAGAGAAGAAGGAAGAGGAGCCGAAACCAGAAGAGCCATCGCAAGACGGAGAGGCCGTTGAGAAGCCTGCCGCTGTCATCCCTGAAGTCCCCGCCGAGGACATCGCTCTCATCGCCTCCCTCACAAATGCCGACTTCGCCAACCAGCTAGTGACCATCTACCAGACAATATCCGCCGACAAGACCGCCAAGACCGAGCCCGTCACATCCCCCGTGATGGACGACAAGGACAAGCGGTCCCAGCTCCACCAAAACGTCCGCCGCATCTTTAACTCCACCATCGACACCACCACCGATCCCACGGGCGCCATCGTCGCCAGAGTCCCTCCCCCTCGCGGAAAGGGCAAGGGTGTTCGCGGCGGCCGCGACAACAACCGTGAGAACAACAAGCAGAAGAAGAAGCAGCCCAAGGCTGTCGCACCCGGTGAGGGCGAGTACCTCCACTTCACCCTCTACAAGGAGAACCGCGATACCATGGACGCCCTACACCAAATTTCCAAAGCTCTCCGCATCAAACCCCAGGCCATCGGCACGGCAGGCACAAAAGACCGCCGCGCCGCCACCACGCAACGCTGCTCCGTCCGCGGCCAGCGCGCCGACGCCCTCCTCCGCGCCCGCCTGTTCGGCGTCACCGTCGGCGACTACCGCTACGCCCAGTCCCCCATCCACCTCGGCGCCCACAGGGGCAACGAGTTCGTCATCGCCCTCAAAGATTGCCTCGTCGCCGGTAACCCCGACCTCCCCCCGGCCGACCGCTCCTCCCAAATCCGCGCCTCCGTCGAGGCCGCCATGGCGAGCATGCACAACCCGGGCTGGATAAACTACTTCGGCCACCAGCGCTTCGGAACCCACGCCGTCGGCACCCACGAGGTAGGCCGCCTCCTCCTGCAAGGCGACTTTGAAGCCGCCGTCAACGCGATCCTCTACTACGACGAGGCCATTGCCCAACGCGCCCTCGCAGGCGAAGTCCCGGACCAAGGCCACGCCCGCGACGAGCTGAACCGCCACCGCGCCTGCAAGGTCTTCCGCGACGGCGGCTCCGCAGAGGAAGCCCTCTCCCACCTGCCCCGCCGCTTCTCCGCCGAGGCGTCCCTCATCCGCCACCTCGGCCGGTCCACCGCCCCGTCCCGACGAGACTTCATCGGTGCCCTCACGAGCATCACCCGCGGCCTGCGCAACATGTACCTCCACGCCTACCAATCCTACGTCTGGAACCACGCCGCAAGCCACCGCTGGCGCCTCCACGGCAAGACCGTAGTCGAAGGCGACCTCGTCCTCGACTCTCCCACCGCCGACGCAAATGCAGACGACGATCTCGACGACGCAGACTCCTCCTCCGCCCCAGCCCGCGCCCTCACCGCCGAAGAAGCCGCCTCGGGAACCTACACCATCCACGACATCGTCCTCCCTTCCCCAGGCCACGCCGTCGCCTACCCCACCAACGCCGTCGGCGACTTCTACAGCACCTTTATGCGCGACAACGGAAACCTCAACCCGCACGACATGCTCCGCCGCCACCGCGAATTCAGCCTGCCCGGCGCGTACCGCAAAGTCGTCGTGCGCTTCCTCTCGGAGCCTAGCTTCGAGGTCCGCGCGTACGAGGACGACGAGGAGCAGATGCACCCCACCGACATGGACCGTATCCGCGCCGCCGCCGGTGCTGGGCGTGGTGGGAAGAAGCGGGGCCGTCAGGAGGGAGAAGAGGCCGGCGAGGAGCAGGATGCGGCGAAGAAGGTCAAGACCGAGACCGTGTCGGATGCGGCAGTGGCAGTGGCCGTGGCGGGAACAGAGGGCGAGGCCAAGGCGGATGAGCTGATGCAAGATGCGCCAACGCAGACCGAGGAACCGAAGCAGCAGCCGGAAGCCACCAACGACTCAAACGGTACCCCCTCGTCCCCCGAAAAGACAAAGACGGCCGTCGTAGTCACCTTCCAGCTACCAAAGAGCGCCTATGCCACCGTCGCGCTGCGGGAGCTGATGGGCGTCGACGAGTCCGAGGTCGCTGCGGCTCCTTTGGCTGCCCCTGTCGCGGTGGCTGGTGATGCTACTACTACTGATGCTGCGGCCCCTACTCCTGTCATCACCGAGACTGCCGAGGTCACAGAGACTTCCGAGACTACGACTGCAGCATCATGAAATACCTCACAAAAGGAACGCATCCACAAGAACAGTACACAAAAACAAAGGCATCACCGGCTCAAAAGGCGATCTACTTGGCATGTAAATGGTTGTAGACTAGATACCCCCCTCGGAGAGAAGAGATTCGTTGAATCGAGCATATACATACAATGCCACCTGGA